TGTCTAATTTATAGGTCTTACGTAAGGTGCTTCCCTACGTAGAAGGCAAGAAGGTTTTTTCCCACTTCATTATCATGGTAAGGTGAGCTTCAAAGTTAACATTCTGGAAGAGCATAACTTCAACAAATCAATTAGAAGACGAGCTCGCTACAAAGTTATTAGCATATATGACACATTTGTACAGAAAACTCATATTTAAAAAAGAAACTTAATACGCAACGCCAGACATTCAGTTCTAAGTGATCGAAGTTGCTTTGTAACCCAAAGCAATTATACTCAGAAAAACCATGTTAAGAAACTTGATTTTGTGACAAATTTTGTTCAATCAATTGTACTAAAATTTGTTTGAATTCCCGGGGGCTGATGGAACTCCTAATATAATTTTAAAGCAGATATTGTTCTTTTCTTTAGCCATCCGTGTAGCTTTTATTTTGAACAATCTTATCCTTAGGCTTGCGTTAGACCAATTCACAAAATGAATAATAATAAGCATCTGAAAACTCCTATGGTTCAATCGTTGAATCAAATGTCGTTTCTGACATTTCAAAAGAGTTGTGAATTAATGATTTACTACGTTACATTTCTATAGTATTCCATTCAATGACAAAAATCCAATTGCTTAAATATGGTGCTGAAATCAGTTACTGGTGAGAAAATTTAAATATGTCGTTCTCCTGAAATAATATGAATTAGTTATTGTATTAACTTTACTATAATATTGAACAAGTTAGTATATGATATGGCATTCTGTTACGAGTACCATTATAAACTACGCTCTGTTTGACGTTAATATTTTTGCCTTTATATCCAAATGCATATAGTTATTTGAGTTAATATGTAGTTTGTCACTGTAAGATTTTGAGCAATTCTTGTGGAAAAACATCGTCATGCTACCATACATTTTGTTTTTGTCTCATTTACTGACAGTTAAACTTCAGTGGTAGATTCCGTTAATTTCACTGAAAACTCTATTAAGTGCCTTTTATTTCTCGAAAATACAACAATATCGTCAGCATGTGCTAATATCTGGTAGGATCGCGTAAATATATTTCCGCCGTTGTATAAATCTTTAATTGCATATTTCATCACCTTGTTTAACCATGGGAAATAAAAAAAAATGTTAACCCTCTCTCAATACTATAATTATTTATTTCACTTCATTCTGACGTTTTGATCTCATATTATCCTCCTAAGGCGAATATACTTTATCAAATAATATCTGAATACTATATTAATATTTCCCTTTCAATCTCTACAACAGTACAATTTCAAAGTAAACATTACTAATTTAAAATGTGAAATAAACACATATAAAACAAAATTAAAGACAAGACTTGCGCATTCAAAACACCTTGTTCTTATATATTGTACTCGTATTATGTAAATTTTTATATTATGGATTCAAAAATTGTCATAATGCTTTCCAAATTATTTTTCATTTTTTCAATTAAACCCATTCTTAGTAAAATATTTGAATTTTTAGCTTACTAACATTAAACAAAGTAAAATGTTCTAAGAAAATTTGAATACAATTCACCAAATAAGTCATAGAACGCCTGAAAATATGCAAGCGCTTATTAAATTACTTAAATTTTCGCTAACAATTTCTATTTGTAAGACGAACATTTTAAAAGTACTCAAAATTCTTCATATTCTTTTAGATGTGCTATAATAATATTGTCACTGCTTGTGAGATTGGAAATAGAATGAGGAAACCGAAAATATCTAGAAAAACATGACAATTTTTGATTTATTTACATACACATTGGAAAAGCGTATTGGAACAGATAAAATAATGTTAATAAAAACGGGCCATCCTATAAACATCGAATTTCCACGTTATTGACTTCGAATATTTTGGCGTATGTAGTCAAATGTTAAACTAAATTAGGTATTTCTAATTTAAATTAAATTGAAAAATTCATTACAAAAAAATTTTAATCAAAATCTGCCACATTCTTTATTAATGGCATCATATTTTTACCTCAAAATAGAACCACATGTTCTCATTTCGCACTCATAAACAAATACAAAAATTAAAAAAACAAAAATTCTACTCTCGAATTATTGAAGCTATGACGCTTCTTACTCAAAAAATAATATAAAAAAATATTAAAATATTATTGAAAAAAAAAATAATTTTTTTTTATTATTTTTATCGGCCATTAAAACAACACTAGCTCCATCAATTTTCTGAATGGTAAAATATGACACTAAATAATAAAAAATTAAAAACTAAAACCAAAAATAATTTTCATTTTTTTTTTCTTTTTTATTTCTCTTTTAATTCCTTTCTTACTTTTATTCATACGCTTTTAGTATTACGTCAGTACGTTTTACTCGCAATATGAAATTATACCTTCATACATACACAAAAAAACAAAAACAAAAAATCACATCTATCAAACATGAAACAACAACAATTTTATTTCATTTTTTTTTTTTTTTTCTTAAACTAATTTTTTCTCTCTTTTTCTCTTTGTCTCTCTTTTTCTCATTCTCTTTTCATTTTTTATTTTTCGACATGTTGTTTTTTTTCCACATTTTCATTTTTCTTCTTTCATTACATACCAACAACAATTTAAATGATTATTCTCTCTCTCTCATCGTTGATTTTATGCTATTTTTATGTGTATACTAGGAAAAATTCAAAATATTTAATTTTGTTTTCTCAAAAAAAATTCATACACATATACAACAAAGTAGAGTAATAAAAATAAAATATCACTTCGGTTGAATTCGTTAAATTTCGTGAAAATATATTTTGTTTATTAGCCAATCAAAACTGATTTCTTTCTTTAAATTTAAAAAAGAAAGGCGTGTTGAATTTCTTTCGCAAAAAAAAAAAAATAACAAAAAATATTCTACTAACAAAATTTTACCTTCAGCAATTTCAGTACGGAATTCAAAATTGAATTTATTTTACATTTTAGTCTATACAGAGTGTATGGTGTATTAAATTGTGCCTTGGAACTGTGTTGTATTGTGTTTGAGAAGAAAATTCATCTCTTTATTTCAACAACGGCAACGGTATAATGTATAGAGTGTTGATTCTACAAAATATGATTTTTTTAACAGTAAAGTAATGGCAGATTTTTTTTCTTATTTTTATTGTTAATTTTTCATTTTGGTTATTTTCTTTTAAAAATTTTTCTGCTATTTTTATATTCCAATTGTAATCGACTAATAAGAAGAAGAAGAAAAAAAAAATATTTTGTTGCTGTTTTTTTTTTGTACTAAATGAGAATTTTGTTGGATGGAGTAAGAAATTTTTGTATTATTGTGTTTCTCTGTTTTTTGTTTTTGTGTTTTTTGTATCTATCCAACATACATGTATGTACGACGTGTGATTAGTAAAAAAAAATTTGTTGTTTTTTCTGTAGTTCAATTCAAACATGTTTTATTTTCATGTTACTCAGTAGAGTATTTGAGTTCGAGCAGTAAAGGTTGGCAAAAGTGGATTTTTTTAAAATATTTTTTTTTTACAAATAAAATTTTTTGTTTGTTATTTTTCTTATTATTGTTTTTGATTTTTTTTTATTTGTTTTTTTTTTTGTGTACGAATAAAAAATGAATAAAAGAGTAACCATAATAATAAAAAAATTTAAGACGAAAATATTAGAAAAATTTTGTGTTTATTTGAAGGCAACAAAAAAAAAATTAAAAAATTTTTTGTGATGTTGGGAATTTTTTTTTTTGTTTTTTGAATTCATATTGAATTTTTTTAAATAAATAAATTAGAAAATTAATGAAATATTTAATTTTTGTTTTTTTTTTACAAAATTTGACAGAAAAAAAAGAAAGAAAAATTTACATGAAAATAAAGTTGCCGGCATTTTTTAAATTTTAAATAACAAAAAAAAAAGAAAATAGTGGTGGAACATTTTTTTTTTTTTTAAATAAAAAAAATTAAATTAAGAGTTCTAAATTCGGAAAATTTTTACAAATTTTTCTTTAAAATAATTTTCTAAAAATTTCTTTTTCTAATTATACGGTACTTTACTAATATACTCGTGGTTAAGAAGACTCTCCATGAGTACATTGAAAAATTTTCACTTTTTCAATCAAGATAAATAATTAGAAAAAAAAAACAAAAATAGAAATGTAAATAAAATTTTATAAGTACCTACTTGTATATACAAAAAATTAAAAAGTGTGGAAATTTTTACATGTTAAAATTGAAAGAAGTAAAAAACAAAAAAAAAGAAAATTATTTTTTCTTTTATCTTGATTTCTTATTTTCCTTATAAAAATACGTGAAAATCACGGAAAAGAGTGAAAAGTGAAAAAAATAACAACAAAAAAAAAAACAACGAATACGTACATATAGAGAAAGAAAGAGAAAAAAGAAAAAGTTTTGGAATTCATTATTTTCCTATACAATACACACACTCTCACATTAATGAAAATAATTAGTATATATATATATATATATACAGATTTACAAATACAAATTTATAATATTGTTAATATGTGTTTGTTTATTGTGTTTTTGCATGGTGTGTGTGCGTGTGTGTTGCATATTAGAGAAAAAGTTGTATTGTTTTCTGTTTTTACAGTACACGTGATATGATTTATATTAAAGTATTTGTGTATTGCGCAATTTTGACAATATAAGACAAAAAAAAGACAAAAAAGTGAAAGAATGAAAATATCACAAAAAAAAAAATGTGTATATATAAAATATTCAAGCAAAATAATGAAAAAAAATTGATGATATTAGAGTAAAGCATACCGACACGACAAATATAATAATATTGAATAATTTTTAATATAAAAATAAACATATGTATATACATACATATGTAAATGCATATATATAATATTAATATTCATTTTAATATTGTACAAGACAAAATTTTGTATAATTTGTGCAACACACAGGTTACAAAACACGTACTTGTGTAGCATTTGGGAAGCTACATAGTGTTCTTTTTTAGTTTTCTTTTTTTTTTAAATTTTGTATTTTAATATTGTACTATGTACCCATGTTGTTATATATCATTATTTTCTTTATTTTCTGTTGTTTTTTTATACTTACATTCTTATAATAACATTTATATTACTTACGTACCCGCGTATACTATGTTACACACATGTATTAGAAGTACAATTGTTAAGGAATAATAATATTGTTACATATGTGCGTCTAATATGCATGGCAACACTTTATATTTTATTATTTACAATTATTATACCTGTATAATATAATAATAATAAATATATATATATTTATATTTTAATTTACCCACAAAAAAATAATGTATTTCATTTTTTTTTTTCACAGTAAACAATAATTTAATTAAGTTACAAGAAAATTTTAATTCAGATAGAAAGAGGCAAAAACATTTTTTATATATATTTAAAAAATCAAATACAATTTACTAAAAATATAATCACTTAATAATTTATAATAACGATAGATAATAATGAAAAATAATAAAGAGAATTGAAAAAACTTTATTTAAAAAATAAATAAAGTGATAGCACACCACAAATAATAATAAATAAAGTGAGTCGAAGAAGAAGAAATAGAAGAAGAAGAAGAAGTGAGTGTGATAATTACGTTAACACAATTAAGTATACATTCGAAAATCATAATTAAATAAAAAACATAAAATCACAAAATATACAGAAAACTTAAGAAAATTTAAAAAGAAATTTTCTTTTAATAAAAAAAAAAAGTGGAAAAATTGCCAAAATTAAAAAAAAATCCAACGACTTTCAAAGTGATTTTTATGTTTTTTCTTTTTATTATTAAGTATACAAAATTTTACGGTATATAAACTCAATATAACGGTTTCTTTCTATTATTTAACAGTTAAATATAAGTTTAGACAAAAAAAAAAAGAGAAAAAAGTTGAACAAAAAAAAAAGTGATGGTACCAAGCTTATTTCATTATTCATAAAAATATTTCATTGTTCGTATTGTTATTTTCTTTAATTTTCACTACTATATTATGTACTAGAGTACTAAAAACAACAACAACATACAATTACAATCATCATTACTTCATACAACTACCTACATTTATAGGTATACGTTTTACTTACCAACTATCACCGAGACTATTGTGAATTTCGAATGAATGATTTTTAAATTTTCATTACAATATTTTTTTTTGGAAATTTGTTATTTAAAGCTACTATTGTACTTTAAAAAAAGAATAAAACTGAGAAAAAAAAACAACAAAACTAGAAAAACGTTACTTTGAACTTTCAACTAGAAATTTAAGAACTAGATACATTGGACTTATACCATAGGAAACAAAACAAAAAAATGAGGTTTCTCTAACAGAAAAAAAAAATCAGCAGAACGAGAAAAAAACTAAGTAAGTATAAGCTAAATTTGTTGTTTTTGTTTTTTTTATAATCATTATTATTATTATGATTATCATTATTATTTTCCATCCATCTACCTCTTTTTATTATTTCTCTTTTTTTCTCTTTCTTATTGTTTTGTTTAGGTCCATTCATTGAAAAAATCAAAAAAAATAAGAAGAAGAAGAAAAAGTAAATGTGCTTGTAAGAAAAGTTTTCTTACTTCTTCTATTCCACTTTTTTTTTTAGAGTTCATATACCTAACTACCTACCTTACCTACCTATACCTACTTAGGTTTCTGAAATGTAGAAATTTTCTGATTTGTATAAGTATTTCTTACTTTTTTTTTCCTTTCGACTTTTTTTTTTGTTAACTAACTATTGTAATTGTTTGAAAAATGAAAAAAAAAATCATTTAGCTTTTATTTTTTTGCCTTTCGCTTCTAATTAACCCTATGCGGCGCAATAGTATACTATTACTTAATTAGATATTTAACAGATTAAGAAGACAAAATCTTTTCATTTGTTTGTTGAATTAAGCATTTAAATATGCGGAGTGGTACAATCAAGGTTTTGACGTCGTCCCGCGCCAGACATCTATAGTCACTAGTACTTTTTTAATGACACACTTGCCAAAGACACGTTAAGTCACGAAGGCTGTACAACTAATTATTATCGTAGTATATCAATATAAAATGCAAATGAAAATTAAGAAGAAATTAAGAAGATTGGAGTTGAAAAACAACATTCTGTTGTATTCCGTTTAAGCACTTACGTATACATTATAAAATATCGTCACGAACTCCATGTTTTTGACTTGTAATTGATCATATTTTGTTAATAAGTGTAAACTTGTGACACACTTCATATTATTCTCAATAAACAACTATTGAAATCTTTCCTTCTCTTCTAAATCTGCTACATCTATGAATCTGCTTCGAAAATTTTAAAGAAATATCGGATTGTGGGCAAGAAAAGTAAAAATTAAAAAAAAACTGAAACTGTAAAAAAAGATTTGATATTTGCGTTTCTCTGTAAGTCAAAAAATATTAACTGCCATTGAAAATATTGACAGTTATTGACGGAACTTTTCGAGGATAAAAGCTTGAGATTTTATGTGAAAAATTCGCCACTAAATATGGAAATTCATACCTAGTCAATACTAAATTTTAGGTGGCTACTGATTATTCATTCCAGGATTTAATTACGCTGTATTCATCATAATAAACTTGTTCTTTTCATGTAACGAAGTCATAAAAATCTAATTTATGTGTATAGGTGTATAGCGGTATAGGGTTAAATTTGTTAAAGAAACAATCTTAGATCAGATTTTGATGTGAATTCAACTATAAAAAAAATATACATATATACATTTTTTTCTTTTATTTTTATATTTTTTTTAGTTCTACATCGTAACTTTTAGATGATTGAAAAGAATTAACAATATATTTTATTTTTTTAATTTTTTTTCGTTTCAGAATCAACATTGAGTTCGATAGCTTTTATGTGTTTAAAATATATTTAGTAATGCAAAAGATATAGAAGAAAATAATTTTTAAATTATTATGATTCTACAATATAATCATAGATTAAATCAGGAGAAAATGGATATGACACAAAATGAAATAGATAAAACCGTAAATTTTATAAAAAATAATAGTGAAAATCAAAATTTATGTGCAAAAGAAGAACGAAGTCACTTTTTAATACCAAACACGATACCATCACAATGTGTTGGAGAAACAAAATATAAAATAAAACAAAATCGTGAAACAAAGTGTAAAACAAATCGTTTGAAATGTAAAGATTTTAATGATATTATATCCTGTTACATATGCAAGGGTTATTTAATTAATCCAACAACAATAACAATTGAAAATTGTTTTCATTCATGTAAGTTTGTAACATGTTTTTTTTTAATTAATGTAGATTTTTATAAATGCGATAGTTTTTGAATATTTTATTACAAAATATTCAAAAACAACAGCTCATTTTGTTAGCGCAGTCTAAAATATAAATCATAAAGATGTTGTCATCCTGTAAATTTTAAGGGGTTTTCTATAATTTTTAGCATATTGTGTGCTTCTAACAAATGAAAAACTAGATATCCGACTATTTTATATCTGTGTATATTCAATATTTTTTAAGAAAGCTGCAATTCAATACGCAAATGGATGCTTTTGAGACAACTATTTTGGTTGCGGTGGAGAGTTTTTTTTTTCTATATGCACTCTCTAGCCCCACAAAATCGTTAAAGTGCCACTATTTTTTTAAATTATTAATTCGGAAAAAAGAATTTATCTTAAATATTTTAAGAGAAACGCGTCGCTGGGTATAGGGTATAGTTTTGTTTATTGTTACTATACTAAAATCTAAATTTTTAGAACAAATGTTAATAATTTAAAATTTTTTATTGTTTAATTGTAAAATTTTAAATTTACAAATATTTTTATATTTCAGTTTGTCGATCATGTATTGTAAACCATATTTTAAATTTATCAGACAGAGCATTTTGCCCAAAATGTGGAAAAGGATCAAAACCAATAAAATTTTTAAATTTAAAGTAAAATTTTAAATTTTATAAATTTTTGAAAAATAAATTAAAATTATTTTTGTTTCTTTTTTTTGTATTTATTTTTATAAATCAATAGAAGTGATGAAACTCTTAAGTCGATAGTATATAAATTAATACCTGGGCTGCATCATAAAGAAATAAAACGTTGTCTAAATTTCAATACAGACAAAAATATTGTAAAATCGCATGATTTACGAGAATTAGAAGATGAAGACTTTTATGCGCCAGGAGAACCAATTAGGTAAATTAAATTAAATTATTTTTGTAATATAAAAATATGATCGTAAAATGCTAGTATTTTACGGTATGTATTTTACGATATCCAATGCTAATTAAATTATAAAATAATTAAATACAATTATTTCTAATTTTATTTCATATTTGTTTTTTTTTGTTTTCTTCTTTTTATTCCAGTTTATCTCTGGAATATCATCCGAAAGCACTAGGAAAAGATATCTCTAAAGATTTATTACCACCAATTAGATATTTGCAGTGTCCAGCGGCTTTAACAATACATCATTTAGCTCGATTTTTATGTACTAAATTTGATATAAATATTGAAAACCAAAGAGTAAATATTGAAATTATTTATGAAGATGAAATCTTATCTAATGATTTCACACTAATGGATGTATGCTATTGTTATAAATGGAATAGAGTAAGTGAATTTTATTTTTTATTAATTCATTTTCAAAAAACTTTAATTTAATTTTAATCATATTATTTTTTTTCATTAATTAATTTTTAAAATTTAATTTGGTTACATTGACAGTTGGCTCCAATGAAATTTTATTATCAAATACTTGTTTATAATGAAAGAAAAGACGTTAGTCAAATTGAAAAGAATATTGTTAATAGAATAAATGACAAAGATACTGAGGCTAAATATAGTAAAACAAATGAGGCTGTTGCTAAAAAATCTGTTAAATTTAAGAGTGTCGAAGGAAAGGCTGTTGAAAATAAATTCATTAATAATAGAACATTAGTATCAAATACGGAAACTAAATGTAAAATAATAAGTGATAAAGAGAAAAGTTTCAATTTTATTGATAACGAATCCGAATATAAAAATGAAATTGAAAATGATAAAACGAACTTTAAAAATAACAATATAAGTAAAAATTATATAAATAATAACAATAATACAGTTTTAACTAATAATAATAACAATAATAATAACATTGATGATAGTATCTTAAAGGAAAAAATCAAAAAACCACTAAATAATAATACACTAGATAATAATTATAAGGAATTGGAAGATATTAAAACTATTCGTAATGATAATGAAATTGTAAAAGATAAAGAAGAGGCTGAATTATTTAAGAGTTCTAAACAAGAAGAATCGGATGAAAATCCATTAAAAAATTCAACAAATTCAGTTGCCAATAATGATTTCAAGAGTCTCAGAAGTAATAACGAGTTTCAGTCACAAACTCAATTGAGTTTAAATTCAACAGTAATAAAAAATAAAACAACAAGTCCAAAATTAAAAGAAAAAACTAATAAGATAAGTTCTATTGAAGCAAATCATCAAAAATTAGTGTCAAAATGTGATATTGTGGTTAGTATACCACAAAATCATATACACAGAGCTTCAAATTCATCAGATGATAGCTTTGAAAATTTGTCTTTAGCCCAATTGAAAACGGCAAACAAAAAGAATTCCAATGCAATTAGTCCCAGAGAAATAAGTTATAATCAAAAATTGTCAGAAGCTTTAAATAATTGTGAACAAGAGAATCAAAATTCTAAGTTATTAAAAAACAAAGAAAAAGATAAATTAACAATTCGAAATGAAAACGAATCGGAGGAAATTGAGAAAGAGAAAGAAGATGAAAAAGAGAAGGACGAAAGCAATAAAAAATATGATCCTCTAAAGGTGAAAATTGAAAAAAATAGTTTTAAAACTAAATTAACATTATCGTCAAAGAAACCTACAACAGCAAATGAAAAGCCTGATACTAAAAAATTTAGTAAAATTGAAAGAAAATTTAGTACTGAAGATGTACTTCCTAATTCAAATGAAGTCGATCTAACAACATATGCCAAAGTTATTGGACTTAAGCCAATTAAGCCTATTAATGAAGAGAAAAAAGAACTCATTATGAAACAAAGTCCAGATGCGTCACCTGCTTCGGCTACATCTTCATGTTCATCTACTGCGTCATTCAATTTTCTGTCTGAAGTTAGTTCGAGTTCTTCACATAAAAAACGAAAAAAAGCTAAACATAATAAAGAATTGAAGAAGAGAAAACTTCATGCAGAAATTGCATCTGAATCTGTTGATCAACCAGAAGGCATAAAATTAAAGGTGAAAATTACGCCAAGTCATAAATCGCACAAGAATGAGAAAAAACCTATTAATAACGATAGTTTAAATGAAATTGAAACACAAAATAAAATTAAAGATTCAACTGATTCGACAGCGATTCCCGAAAAATCTCCTGAAGTAATAGATAACGATTCCAAAACAAGCGAAAAAATTAATTCTGAAAATAAACCAGAGGTTATTGAAATTGAACAACCTAAGGTAAATGAAACCAATCATATTCCTACAACAAATGAAATTATGGAGGAAAAAATTAAGTCTGAAGAACAAAATATTGCTAAACCTCATCAATTTGTCAATAGTAATAAAACAAAAAAACAAAATTTTATTCCAAAAACTATAGTCTCTGCTAATTCACATCTTAAATTTCCATCATCTTTAAATAATACATTAATCAAAAGTTCCCAGCTTTCTTCTCCACAAACCGGCAATTGTTTAAAACAAACTACACAAAAGGTTTCAGCTACTTCACAAGATTCGAAACTTCCAATTTCTCCACCATTGCCACCAAGTCTTTTCAAAACAACAACTTTAAATTTACCCAAACATAATTTGAACGTGAATGCAGTAAACACACAAAAAAATATTTCATTGCCTCATCGGCAATCTATGAGCCAACATCAACAAATGGCTATGAATCACATGAACCGAATAACGAGTAAGAATTCTTCTAGAAACGGGACCGCAGCGAATTTTATTGTACCTAATCCTCCTCGCGGAATTGTGAGTAATGCAGCTAAACATTTTCCTATCGGCTCTATAGCAAGTCAACAGCATCGTCAAGCAGCACAATTAAAACGTTCTGCGAGCTTAGATAGTTCGCCACCCACTTTTGCTAAACAATTAAAACTTGAACAAGATCGCCTGATTCGAAAATCAGCGTATGCTTCAAAGCTAACCAATCCTACATTGTCAATTGCCAATAATTTACAAGCAAATCAACAAAATGTTTTATTACCAGTAACTACACAACAAATTATCAATCGTAATAGTCCAACTGCGGTGGTTTTCAGTTCTGTTCCGACAAATAAATCCCAACAAGAGCAAATATTTTATACAACAGCAATGGGCACATCTTATACACACGAAAATGCTTCAAAGAAATCTGTTCCTATTCTTTTACCACCATCTTCAATCAGTGTTACTAAAATGGTTGACACATTTCCCAATTCAATAATTACTTCACCATCTGGCTTAACAATCACACCACAAGATCAACAGCCACCAGCGTTTCAGTATCAGAATACTAATAAACCAGCTTTAGAAATAGTAAGAATCCAATCGAATATCCCTCCAATTGATCAGCAAACATTTCCAATTACAAATAATAATACCGTAAAACAGACAGCAAATAAAGCATCGAGACCTCCACCGCCACCAATTCCTTTAAAAATTAAAAAACCTACAAATCAAAGTCCACCTACACAACCGACAATATCGAATGTTCCACCATCTATACCACAAAATGCTCAACTTGTAAACATAAATCAAATGAATTCGAATAAAACAGAAAATACAGAAAACAAACCTATTGAAATATTAGATCTATCAGGAAAGTCTCGAAGCCCATCAAGAGAAAAATCTTCCTCCCCAGAAGTACAAACGGCTACACAGGATATTTTACAAAACAATGCAGTAAATTTAGAAGCTGCAATTACTCAATTACTACAACAACAAAATCATGTAACGAGCTCTTCTAATTTGATTTCACAACCAAATAAATCACCAAATCAAGATGAAAATGTTGGTTTACAAAATTTACAAATGTTATCAGAATCAGCTACAAATCGTGAAAAACTTGCTGTTAAAACAAATAGAGCAGTACCATTACTTTCAAAATTGGATGTAGGTAAAATAAGAGCAAGTGCAAATGTTCGACAACAGAATGCTTCTATACGAAATATACCAAATCCATCGGCATTAGCTTTTCGTGGTAACCAACAACCACCATTACCGATGTTAGCAAATATTTCAAAAATTACACAACAAAAACTAAATATAAATGTAAATGAGAATATTCCTAAAACACAAGCACTCAGTTCTAATATAAATACAACAACTATGTCACCGACAACAACAACAACTAGTGCAGATTCTTCAAAAGTTATTGCTTCAAAGAAAAATTTAGAACAATTAGCACAAAATTTAGCACAAAATGCTCTCAATAATCTAAAAACTAATGCAACAAATTCTAATACAATAAATTCTTTAGTAACATCAACAACAACAGAGAATAAAAGTAATTCGGTTTCATCTAGTAACTTTAATGTATCGTCAAGTTCACAATCTGTTAGCACAAATATAGTATAATGGACAGAAAATGGTAAGTTTCTTTATTTTTAAGACACTGAAAAGTTTTTTTTAATAAATTGCTGACTACTTTTCAACTTAAAATTTTCATCTATTTTAAAATCTATTTGATTTAATTTCAATTCCACCTCCTTTTCACCTATTTAATTCAATTATAAAAAAATATGATATATTTTATTTCTCTCTCTCTCTTTTTTTTACAGAAACAATTGTGCAAGTTGAGAAACTGAATCAAATAGGTTAAAAAAGGTCAGTAAATTCAGAACGATATCTAAAATATTATATTGGTAAAAGAAAATTTTGTCATAATAATTTAAGAACCTTTACATTGGAATTATAGAAAAACTGTATGCAATACACAATTCAGCAATTAGTGATTTTAAGCTGAACTGTTTATTAACATATAGTTCAGAATTTAATGCTTAGAAGCTGAATTGCATAATAATACAGTATTTTTGATTTCACGAGAATTTACTTTTTTTTACATAAGCCTGTATATTGAAAAATTCCATATGCAAACTTGTATTTGCATATTATGGATTTATTTAAATAATACAAAGTATTTTTTAATATATATTAATTTTTTAAATTATGATTAAGAAAATTGAATATAAGAACATTAAGTTAATTAAAATTTATTAAAATATTATTATACAAAAAAAGAATTATATAACAAGTGTAAATCAAATTGCAATATAATTAACATTGAATGAATGAAAAATAATAATTTAGTTCATATAAAACTAATTTTAATTAAGTATAAAATAAATTATACATAATAATATTATTATATAGTAAAATCTTTAAATTATTTACAACACAATAACAAAAGTAAATATGTACATTTATACATAAAATGTAGTTTTTAATTTAATTATTTATTTATTAAAATTTAATTAAAACTTAATTAAATTTCATGTATAGAAAAATAATATTAAAATTTCTCGTTTCCGCACCAAGCGTATACTTTCAGTACTATATAAATCTCTGCGTTCTCATTTTTCCCTCTTCTTCTACTTCATCTTCTCAGTCTAAGTTATTATAAATTCAAAATCATATTATTACACGTAACATAAATATAACATACAATACAATACAATACATAAAACATTCTAAAAAAGAGCAGCAAAATAAAGAGAAAAATAAAGAGAAGAGCGCACTGATTGTACTCGTATATTGAATACACAAACCATGTGTACAGAAACGATAATTGAGTGCAATTATAATAATTAGAAAGAGATAAAATATATATTTTATAGTTTATAAAATTAAGTTTATAAAAAATAAGTAGTACATAGATGCTTACATAATATTTTGTTTTCATTTATTTATTATTACTTTATTGAATGCAAAATATAATTTTATTTCAAATTATAATTAAGTTTTAATAAGACAATATTAATTAAAAATTAAATTATAATTAAAAATAATAAGTTGAAATATTTGAAAAATCAAGAATTAAAAAAAAAAATGATTCTTATTTTTAATCCCAAGTGAGGTTGTTTAACCCTTTCAAATCACATAATTATTAATTGTACAAAATTTTTCATTGTACAAAAAAACATCTTATACATATAAATAATATATATATGATGAAATAATAATTAATTCTGTAATAATGACTTAAAATTAATGCAACAAATTTATCAACAATTGAATCGCAATTTCAGTATAGAAATGATTTAAAGTATTGTATAACTTTACTTCCATAACTAACGTCTAGCGTTAGTTATGGAAGTGCATACAAAATATAGATATTTTCGAGTATACTGTAATTTTTTTTGTGCAAATAGTATATGAGTGTACCAAGCGCACAGGCTGTAATACGAAAATCAAAATATTCCGTACACTATCATCTATTTACTATCAGGCCGCAAAAAATCTTCAATCTGTTGTCTGTAACATTGTCCACTGACAGTAAAAGCTCTTTAATTTCCATCTTCGAAGAAAAATTGGCCAATGATTCTATTAACCCAGTAAATCACACCAAACAATACTAGTTTTTTGAATGTGAGGAGCTTTCTTTTCTCTATATTCTAGTCCAGTGTTAAATGAGCTTCAACACTAAAGTCTCTTGTTGACACAGACAATCCACGAAAGTTCTGTGTCGACAATGAGTTTTTGGTTTCAATTCTTGTATTAATTGAATTTTGTGAGGATCTAAATGCAAATTTTTACGTAAAATTCGCCAAACAGTCTTTTTATGAATGCCTAATTTCTAAAAATGGTTAAAGCTTGTTCAGTAATACTTTCTACTATCGTAGCATTATAATCAAAAGAACGTTCAGTATTTTGATATGCCAGTCCTTCTCCTATCATCGAACGAACTAGTTTCTTGAAAATTTTTCAACTGGTCGATGCAAACTATTTTCATAATAAGTTTCAATAATTCTAACGTATTGGTCTTTCGTGTAAGTATCCATGGTTAAAATTTTACTATGCTTGCATGTGTCTATTTAACGCATGTCAAAGATGACAATAGAAAAAGTAGCGTTTAGAAATTATTTACTAAAAAGACCCCGTATGTATTAATCTGCATTCTGAAAGAGTTAGTATATACAAAAAAAAAAAAATTTTTAATTTAATATTATTCTTTATATGGAAAACAAAATTATTATACTATATGTAGTTCTTATATGGAACTTCAAAAGAATTTAAAGAATTAAAGTAAATTAAAAATTATACGTACTTATGTACGATGGCGTATAAGAGAATAAGTATGGTGTTGCTTGCATATCAGTCCACCATATTCAATCAATAAAATCACAAAAATAAGAAAATTTATGTGATGGTATGTGACTCTTTTGAAATTCGAATTTTAATTGAATTTTAATGTATATTTTTTATGCATATATGTCCTGAATATCAAATAGTTTTACTTGTTTTTACTAAAATTTATAAAACTTGAAATATACACTTAAATTTTAATTAGAAGTTTTGTTAACAAGCACAAGGCCGAACTAATAAAGAGAGAGTGAAATTATTAAGCATACTTTTTCTGATTTCAATGCTGAAAAAATATAAATAAACCAAACGTCAAAGAGCTGGTGTTTCTTTGAGAGCTGGTGTTTGAAGTCTAAGAGTGGTTTTACTACATTTCTATTGTTTTAAATTAATTTCACATTTATGTATACGTAGATAATTGTTCTTTTCTAGTTACTATTTTATGTGCCATTATAAACGTAAATTATTTCAAAATACCAAAATGTCATAATTACGTATGTATTCCAATGACGTAACAAGAAAAACGTAACCGTAACGTCTTCCTTCTAAACTTACAATAATTTGTTTTTCATTTATGCTTTGAATTTAACTTATACTTTTATAAATTTTATGTCTAGTCACTATGTTTCATTGTAATAAGAAACACAATACTGGTATTTTTTTTTTTTTTTGCTTTTGCTAAGATTTTATTGTATATATCACCATAATTTCATTGTTGTTTACGTCAACACGCATACTAAGATTCTCAGTTTCAGTCCAAATAAGTAACATAAAGTAAATATTAAAGTAAAATAGCAATAAATATGATAAAGGTGTCAATTATCAACTTATCCACGTGATATTTTAATCGTTTTACTTTAATACTTAAAAAGTATGATAAATGAATTTTCATTATTTACATACTTGTATACATTTATAAAATTTGAAAACAAATAAAAGAGGGTGAATTGAAATTTAATGTTAATATGCATATCACGAGTCTCTAATATTGTTATACATATGGCTATATTTTATATGTATACACACATATACATTTATTTCGATGGTAACATTGTTATCCATTAATGTAATACATGCGTATGTACATATGAATGTATGTATTAATATAGAGTGACATTCAAATACTTTGAACTGCTTTTGTATTACAGAAATTCGGAAACAAGAACAATGTACTTATTTACAATATGCTAAAAAATAAAATTTATAACAAAATAATGAAATATATCAAATAATGAAGGTATACACATGTTATATAAAAACCTATAAATGTGTTATACATGTATTACCGTTTATAACATTTATATACTTCAATAATTGCAGTATAACACTTTACAAAACAGAGCACTTACAATAATAATTAAAAATGTCTTTGATGAGCAGTCTTTTATGAATTTACCAAATTAGTGTTAATGGATTTTTTTATGGAGAAACCTTAACCGGAACATTTTACAAGTAATAGTGATTCAAATAAAATTTTTAGATTTTATCAGATTCCGGGAATTGTTATGTATTCATGAATTGATGCAGACTGCCCTGATTTAAGGTTAGAATGCTATATCGTTTTAAATAAAAAACGATAATTTTTTCCAAATAACAATTATAGCGATCTATTCAAGGGAATTTAAAATTCAAAATGTAAAACATTTCAAGGAATGATACTGCACTACTCTGTACAAACTGGAATTAGAAAAGACAATTTACGCAGATTTTTTCCGGTAGATGGCTTAACATTTTTATTTGAAAAATAAACGTGAAATCTTCAATGGTTATAATATGTACATAGTTAATTATTTCTATATTTTTACATTTTTTTACAATAAATTTGAAATTAAATTATTTTGACATGTTGCTGTGCATGATAGTAATTTTATCTTCTACCTCTAACTCTCTACATGCTGGCGTATATTTTAAAATTATTGCTTGTATGCATAAATAAATTGAAATTTATTGAAATACTAATTTAAATTGATGTAAAAGCATTTAATTAAACATGAGTATAATTTGTTAAAATCAAATTTCTTTTGATATATTGAAATAAAAAATGAAAATAAATTTTACAGAAATGCATAAATTGCATATTTTTAGTGCGTGTTTACCTAACAATCATTGCATATGATAGCGTGATTGAATTATAGAATTGTTTAATTAATATTCAAAGAAAAAATCACTCAAGCTGCTCAATCTTGAATGTAAAAGTATAATGGTTCCAGCAAAAAAGCCTTAAATATCTTAAATAATTCTATTTAAAGTGATTCCTGAACATAAATTATAATATTTAGGCAAAAATAAGTTAAATTTCTTGAGCGACTACGACTTATCATTTGACAATTGATACGTCGATTTTAAATTCAATTAATAATCTCGTATTTTATATGCACTTCTATAATTGATAAGAACAAAATTTGATTTTGAAAGAGCTTTAAATAAGTATTTTGATTTTCATAAATAATTCTTTGCTATTACGCAACTATACGAAGTATTTTTAATATCAAATTCTAATTCTCAGAATATAGCATGTTTATGGCCCCTAACATTCACAAAAAAAAAACGAAATAAAATCAAAGCTTACATGGGTCCTGTATTTTGAATTTTTTTCTAAAATGGCGTACGCAATTTATAGCAGTACACTTAATATTACCAAGTTTACTGCTATAATTTAACACTAAATTTAGAACTGAATTTTCAAAAATATTCTATACTTAAATAGCTTAACTACAAAATAAATTTTTGCACAAAAAAGAATTTCTTAGGTTGTTTAAGA